AGCCTCGTGGCTACTCTCAACTTCATGTGGGGTGGTAGTTGCATGTCGAGGGACGCCTCGTTGAATCTTTTGATCCACTCATCCGCCACGGAGATGTCCCCCGTTCCATCAAACGGTTTACATCCCAAGTCTCTTGACTCTTTGAGGTACTTTGAGATCCTTATTATAGGGACCTCAGCACCTCCCCCTCCTCGGGATTCTATGATCTCCCTAGGAGTCGCGCGGCTTCCTCTCCTTGAAGCCCCTTCCAAAGCCTTTGGCGATCTTGGTGGTATTGCCGGAGCAATTCCTCAATCCGTTCGAGAGCTTCATTATCATCGCTCTCGTCACTTGCATCATCGTATTCCCCATCATATGGGGTCTCAACCGGCTCGGTTCTCGGTTGGTAAGTTGAATCCTCCTCGGACTCATAGTGCTCGTCTATGCTTTCCACATGACCGTCACTCACGGTCAGCGAGTGGCCTGCACGGCCTTGTCTCCTAGACACCCTCGATCCTCCCCGACTGCCACGTTGGGATCCTCCCGGTGCTTGGCCAGTCGGGTTCCGTCGAGTAACCTTCCCGGTACATTCCATTTCTGAAAGAAATTTAGAATGAGTCATTAGACTCGTATCAAATGTCAATTGAAGGATAGGCACTTAAAGTCATCTTTTGGCTCAAATCACCGCCATACCAATTGCTAAGGGTACCATCTTAACAATTAGAGACATTGCAACTCAAGTGTCAAAAGTTCTATAAGTACAAAACTTCTTATGCTCATGCTTTTAAATTTCATTTTCAAAAAGAATTTTGAAGCTTCATTATGATGTTTACGGACTAAGGCTCTGATACCAATTAAATTGTCACGCCTCGGACCTAACCGGACACGTCAACAACCCGCCGTACAGTACGAATAGTCAACCGCAGTCCAGCTCATCCATACTATACAAGGTGTCATGAATATCATTCACACATAGTACATCCACAAACAAACATAATGTAAAACATGCATTTAAAACAGCAGAAGCATTAATACGATTGTTCAAGCCACACTTGGCATAACTAGGCATACAAGCCCCCAAAGTAATTATTCAGAAAATAGTATCCATGATCATTAACGTAATTGTTTTTAAAAAAGAACGGAAGAAGCATGAACCACGTCTTCTTCCCTTGATCCTCCCGAAGCAACGGGCAATGGTAGCAACCTTCAAGTTCTACCTGAAACTGTGAGGTGGCCTCCCCCGTGAAGGGAAGGTCAGTACTTGGAAGCATTTGACAAGTACAATAGCAACTATACTAAGTATAATCAACGTTTTAATTTCCAAGACCCTCAAAATAGGGTGATATCATAATATAAATAATAAATTATATTTCCCACTTATTATCTTTATAATAAGTAAATTCATTTATTTGTCGGCACACGGCCCTTCTTATATATTCCTTTTCATTTATCATTTTCACAACCCAACCCTTGGGTCTTATTATTTCTACGGGACTTGCTACCGCTGTCCGATACCTCATGAGGCTCCCGGTTCGGACTCCAACATCCCGCCCCTGGACTCATACCCATCATCCCGTAGGAAGGTAAGGCCCTTTGGGGTCCTATCTTATGTGTTACCGCTACCGGAACCTAGTTAGGTCTCCGATTCGGATTCCACCCTAACCCGTGATCACGATGTAAGTCCATGCTATCCAACCCCGCTCTCTAGAGTCGGGAAGGGCCATGGTCCTTACTTAATTCCATAATTCAACCGGCTATCCACAAGGACTACCGAACACACCCGTAGGCCAATCCTATACTTAGGATCAATTTATTACTTACTTTATCTTGGGTATCCCTTAAGGCCTACCCCTAGTATAACTTAGAGTTCATACTTTCCTACCTTAAAGCATCTCTTAAGACTACTTAAGGCATAACATTTCACAATCCAATCTTAGGATCAATCTTAACAACATTTCATTTTAATGTCCAACTAGTATCTTAATACTAGTCAAATTCATACCAACAAACTAAGTTCTCAACTCATAGTCATATAGACAATTCCAACTGATTTTCCTTTGAAAATGTCATTTATCTCAATATTCAAAATATCACTTTTAATCACTCATATATTCTAATATGAAGGAAAAATATATTTCGACATATGTTTCATAATTAATTCCACTTTCAAGTCAACATATTCATAACACATGATCATACACAATTTACTCTTAAATTTGTATATCATGCTCCTTTTTATGTAGACATTAGTCTTTTCATTCTTAGGCATTATTAATCATTAATAATCCATAAAAACACATTTAATTACCTTAGCTAAACTCATGAAATTAACTCACTAATTATAAGCAATATAGTCAGCCATCCTCACCTTATGAAGTGCTGAAATAGTTGCCTTTGCTAAGCCCCTCGATCAATCCCCGTTCTAGGCCGATTGAAAGTGTAAAACTGAACTGCTGGGCAAAAGCCGGGCGGCTTTCACGAAAGCCGGGCGGCTTTCGTAGTCTGCAACTACGAACATCTCCTTTGGAGTGGTGGTTTCCGGCGATTTCGACTCCTATCGATTTGCCAACCCTTCTAAGTTAATTACCACCACTTTATAACAATATTCCACACTTTTAAACGTGTAGAACATCATGTTTAATCCACCATATGATTTCTTACAAATCATACACCATAAAACTAGTTAAAAGAAGATAGTTGAGTTCTTACCTTCTTCCTAGCTAGTTTTCTACTGGAATTTGCTTGCCTCTTACTTCCTCCAAGCTTGAACTTGATGAGGAGTTGCTGGAGCTTCTCTTTTCCTTTGGGTTGGCCGGATGATTGCAAGTGAGGAGGGAGATAGGTTCCTCTCAATCAATACAATTGATTGAGTAGAAAAGGTGTAGGAATGAGTTTTTGTCTCAATGAGACTCCTTACCTACTTTGCACGTTCCAGCATGCTTCATGGTCATTTGTGATACATAAAATCGTGGGGTGGCCCCCACTCATGTGGGAGGTCATCCCATTATGTCCCGATGTGTATAATCAGCCCCGAAAGTTGTATTTTTCGGACCGTTTTGATTATATTTTATTTTATCGGGCCAAATAAAATATATCACGCGTCCCTAATACTTATGGGCCTTTAGAATAGATGTACATTCCCCAACATTAATTTTGGAGTCTCCGAAACTCATTTCGGGCTGTTAACCGCTAAATTACCAATACCGGTAATTGGGTCTCGTTTGACCACCGGTCAACTCCATGCCTTTCCTATGGCCCAAATAAAATATCCACAACCATATAGATGTCATCTAGACCAAGATGAATATAATATGTGGTTCGAGAATTATCGGGCGGTCCCCGTTCCCGCTATGGGTCCCACATGCAATTTACTATTCACGTAAAAGAATTAATAAAATTTAACAATTACGTAAATTCATAAATCATCTTTCAAGGTTTACTACATCATTTACTAAAAGTAACCATGCTCGGGGACAGTGTCACACACAAAGCCAGGCTTCCATACTTAGCTAATATATTCGAATTTACTCAGTCCAATAGATGCCTTATATTGCAATGTGTCTCCCAAGCCCAAGACTTGGGAGCATGGCCGGTCCTGAGAAAACACGGGCCCTGTGCAAAAATAAAATGTGGTCTTTTTCTAAAATAGGTAGAAACATAATATAAGTGAAATTTATACTCCCTCCGTCCCATTGGACTTTGCCATCTTTATTTTTTTGGTTGTCCCAAAAAACTTTGTCAGTTTCCCATTAAAGTAACTATTTTGTGGTTCTACTCATTTCTCTCTCTTCTGCACAAACTTCATTCACACAATTTTTACTATTCTTATTTCCCACCTAACTTAAGGAAAGCAAAGTCCATTGGGACGGAGGTAATATATGTAAAAATTTGCTACAATAATATTTTGTTTATCAAAATACAAGTTTTTTTGGAAGTATCAAAATACAAGTTATTCACTAACATAATGGTTATTCACTACATATGGATGTGTGTGTGTAGCTGTTTTGGGCTTAAAATCTTATGAGTTATATCAATTATTGTATGATACAAAAACACAAATTGAAGGATTGTTAACATCAACCATTTGGTTTAGTTGGTTCGATGTCAGCATGTGTGGGAAGGTTGTCAGGGTTCGAATCCCCCTGGCATCAAATTTTTTTAATGAAGTAGTGGGATTTTACTCATTAGGCTCTAATTATTATATAATAATAGGAGGACTATTAAAATTTTGGGCCTTCAGAATTTCCGGGCCCTGTGCGGTTGCACAGCTGGCACTTGGCCTGAGCCGGCCCTGCTTGGGAGCCCACTTCTCTCTCTAGTTCTCACTTCTATCTAGACATATAATCTATCAGGACCATTAGCTAAACTCTTTATGGAATGTCACCACATTTGGCTCAAATGAAGTTTGCATTCAATATTCCTTCCATATCAATTTACCGATATGAAAGGGTACATGCCCTTACTCGTCTGGCATGTACACACCAGTTTTTGCATGCTCATGTATACAGACAACTAAAGAACATATTCAAAAAAGTGTAAAATTGTGTGTGCATGCATATCTTTCCAAACATTACTAATAATTGTTTTTGAACTTTTTAAAGTGATTTTGAAAAATGTCCTTAATAATAAAAGTTGGTAGTGTTTGGTAAAATAAGTGTTTTTTGTGTAATAGAAAAATTAAAAAACAGATTCTAGCTTTTAGTTATTAACTTAAGTAGAAGTTGTCACTTGAAAACATCTTTTTTAACTTTTTTAAACCAAAAGCTGGGAAGTGCTTTTTTAAGAGTTCCCAAACCGTGCCCAAGTCTTCTACTTCTACCGAAGTGCTTTCAAGCTACCACAGGCACACAGATGAGAGACTAAAATAATGAAGTAATCCTCAACAAGGAGTCCTCTCTACTTCTCTGGTTTTACTTAAGGTCAAGTCAAACCTTCGAAATAAAAAATTGAGTTCATCTGCAGAGAAAAGGGAGTGTGACAAAAGGAAAATTAGACCATTCAAAAAAGAAGAAAAGGAAAGTAAAAAGAGCAAAAGAGCAGAGACAAATGCCGCTTTCTTTACCATACGCCAATCTCTTCAATTTTTAAAACATTTCTGTGATATTCCACACCCCAGTTGGCCAGTTGTCTCTCTTCCTCGCCGGCTGCTTCTTCCGCTCTTGCATTTGGCGGCTTGGCGCCATAGACAATTGATCTCGCTCATATCTTCTGCGTATTTATACGTAACGACTCCAACTTTATAGTTTACGTACACATATTTATATCTATTTATTGGTAAGCTCAACTTTAATTGATTTTAAAATGCGTAAATATTTGCTCCTGTGTGTACGTATACGAAGTTGAATGAGCACATCGGCATGTCAATGCTTTTCTTGATCGTATTATCGTACTTTCATCCATCATCACCTTTATATGACCGAGTTCTTGTGCGGGGTGCCACTGTGTTTCAGAATTGTTACCCAGGTACGCGCTCGTAGAATTTTGGATTCGATCGGTGGCGATCGCAACGCGAGGTCCGGGATTCTCGTCGCTCGAGGAGAATTTCGTGGAACTCTCGGAGATTTTGCTAATTTTGATGGCGGATTAGCTTTTGAAAAGTAGAAGTTGCAGTTGGACTCTCAGCAAGATCAAATCGAGGACCCGTGTATGTTTTTGCTGGAAGTCGGGGTTTCCCGTAGATAGCCATGGATCCATTTGTGTAAGCTGGGTTGAAGTAGCGGAAGTGAAGTGAAGATACTTGAGCCCGAGCTTCCGGATATCAGATAGTCTTGTTACTAGTCTTTTGGTCAAAGATATTTCGAATACCTTTGCACCATGTCCAAAGTTGTGTATGAGGGATGGATGGTGAGATATGGACGGAGGAAGATAGGTAGATCGTTCATTCATATGCGATATTTTGTTCTAGAGACTCGATTGCTGGCTTACTACAAGAGAAAGCCTCAGGACAATGTGGTATGGTCCTAAAATTCAAAGCTTTGGTTCTTGTGCTTCTTTAAGATCTGATAGAATTCAAAGATACATACTTTTCCCTGTAACTTGTAATACCAGTTGATAATGGACTATGCAGCTTTATCCATAATTTTTTTTTTGCTTAAGTTTTTTTTATTTTTACTTTTCAGTTTGAAGTTTAAACTTTAAAGTGTGTATCTGAACCTCCTGATAAAATGCTCTCTATGTCTCATTAATCAGGTTCCCATCAAGACACTTCTCGTAGATGGAAATTGTCGGGTTGAGGACCGTGGCTTGAAAACTCATCATGGACACGTAAGTTGTTCTCTTCTTAGCTGATTTGTCAACATCAGCAATACTACTTACCTTAGCATCTTGAATACTTATCTTAACATACATGTTTTTAATTTAAATTCTAATGGGGAATGCACTCATCTCACTTTGCTAGTTACACATTTATGTTTGGTTTTTATTCTTTTGACATAGAAATATGAGTTTTAAGTATCTTCAAGTATTGCTCTCAAATATAGTTGAGAGGAGTGGTGATTTGCTTATTTGTATACTGCACTTTGAGTAATTGGTTTAAATTGTGTCAGCGCTGATTGGAGGTTGCAATAGCATGTATATTATGCTGCATATTTTTCAGTACATCGTTGATCTTAGTTTTCATCTTTGCAGATGGTCTATGTCTTGTCTGTTTACAACAAGAAAGAGAAGAACAACCGAATTACGGTATTTAGTCTTCTTTCTCCCGCATTGTTTATAGTGAGAGCAAAGCTATGGCTACCAGTTCTTGGTTTGTGCATGCCTAATATGATACTGATCACTTTATTGATTAGTTTATTTTATACGCTGCTAAAATTGCAAGGGGGATAATCATTGGACTCGTTGGTTTATCATTAACCGAATCCACTGTACTTAATAATTGACCTAATTATGGCAGACATATATTTCTGTGTGTGTGTTGGGCGATCCCAATATATCTCTCCTACACCTTTAGTTTATAGCATCTTCTTCCGATGAATGGGAATATTTTTAAATGGAGAAGTGAACTGCTTTTGAACTATCAGATAGCTTTTCAGTGGTGGTCTGCAAAGTGTAGCCTTAACTAATTGAAACATGCCCTTTCATAAGCAGTTTCCCTGATATAAGTACTCTAAAAGTAAATATGTGTACCCAATAATACAACAAGTTTTCAAGCTACATCATGCCACTATGGTGCTTTGGAGATTCTTTTTTACGACAAGATGGCTAGTAATGGTGGTTATTTGTACCATACCAGATGGCAGCTTTCAACATTCAGGAGGCCCTGATTTGGAAGGAAAAAATCGAGTCTGTCATTGATCAGGTTGGTTTGATATCATTTAACTTCTACTTCCTTTCGGTTTTTACATATCATATTTATTCATATCAAATATACCCATCATCTTCTAATATATAATTTCTGGTTTAATCACTCTCCCGTCCAACAAGTTGTTTCCAATGAGTTCTTTACTCAGCTTTATTTCATCTGACTTGCATTTCCAAAATTAATGGCTGAGTTAATTTTTGTTAATGTTACCTGTGCGTTGATAGTTGATATTACCTGAGACTTATGTCTGATCTTGATGTGCAGCATCAAGAGTCACAAACAACTAATGGGAACAAGTATGTCTCGTTTGAGTATAAATCTGGTGCAGAAAATGGTAGGAATGGTTCCTCATCAGATCGTGAAAGTCAGTAAGTATCGTGCCTTGTCATTTCTGATTTATGGACTTCCCTGTCATATATAGTTGCTGATTGGCTATTTTTAAGTTTTCCGTTTTTATTCCCTTTTCATTATATATGAATACACCGAAGAAGTATTTCCTTCTTAAGAGTCTTAACCTATCATTGTAGTATATATTATACACATTTCATTTTCATTTTCATTTACCCCAGTGCCGCAAAGGCTCCCACCTACGCTTGGGTAAGGGGGGTCGGATGCACGCAGTCTTACCCCTGTACTAAAGCACAGAGAGTGTTTCCGGATGACCCATAGCGAAAATCGCGTCCAAAATTGCATGGACTGACTGCCGCTCCATAACAAAGAAGCGCAGACAGTTTAGTGAGCCATTTTGCTTTATACACATGATTAAACTAAAATCTTTCTCCATTATTTCCAATGGAGCCAAAGACTCACTGTTTTTTGTCTTGGGAATATGATTGAATAAAACAAAATGGCTCACTAAACTGTCCTCACTTCTTTGTTAAGATACAATAGTCAATCCATGTAATTTTTGACGTGATTTTCATCACGGGTCATTCGGAAACAGTCTCTTTGTACTTTAGGATGTTTTTACTTGCACCGTAATTTGCTGGTCTGGTCTGTTTAAGTCTGGTCTGGTCTGGTCTGGTAAACATCTGGTCTCTGTGTATTTTATAATTACGGAAGTCAAGTCTGGTCTGGGACTGAAACCAGTCCAAGTAAAAACATCCTTAGTACAGTGGTAAGGCTGCGTACATCTGACCCCCCTTACCGCACCGTAGGTGGTAGCCTTTGGGGCACTGGGGTAATGTTGTTGTTTGATGAAACTAAAATCTGCAAAAGCAAACATTACTTCTAAAAAAGTCAGTCTTGGATTGAACAATTGAAATTGTATATTAGTCAATTGGAATACCGTTAAATGAACCATCAATCTTATCACGTTGACCTTTTGAGAGAGTGAGAGGGGCAAACGTTAATAACAATAAAGTGTAAAATCATAAATGAAATAATTTAAGTGCATTTATACCTGATATCTCATTTTATATGAGTCCTTTGCATGTGTCATTTGATAATACTTGGATAATAGTACAACTTATGATAAATTTGTTAGTGATTTTGCTCAAATCATCTAAAACTGTGATCTGATACTTCAACGCGCATCTGAACCCAGCTTATTAAAATTGTTTCATCTTATCGCATTTACTAGAAAATCAACTAGGAGTATATTGCTGTATTTTGTGCTTTGATCTACTCCTCAAAAGCGCTAAGGTAGAATTGACTGAACGAGTACTTCTGGAATCTGTCCTCCTATCTCTATCTCTAGGTTCAGTGCTGCTGAAGAGGAAGATGAACCTAGTCATAGCTTGTTGCGAAGAACTACAATTGGGAATGGTTGTTTTTGGTTTCACTTTTGGCTTGACATCACATTTTCTCAATTTTTTTAAAACTAAGATAGATACCATTGCATTGTCAGGCCCCCCTGAGTCTGTGTTTGACTGGACAAAGGAAATTGATTCAGACTTGGCAAACCAGAATGCTAACAATCAGGCATTTTCGAGAAAGTATTGGCGCCTTCTTCAATGCCAGAATGGTTAGTTGCTTTTTTATTTTTATTTTTCTTATATGTGCTAATATGTAAATTTCCTTTGAATGCAGAGAACTTTTAGTATAATAAATAAATAATGAAGAATATTCAAATGAATGACCTAAGTAAATGTACTAATGTCTTCTACTACATTCCAATATGGATGGTTGCAGGGCTTCGCATATTCGAGGAGCTTGTTGATGTTGATATTCTCGTATGTGCTGATTATTCTTGTACTGGATATTTTTAAATTCAATGTGAGATAAATTTCATATTTCAGGGGGTTTTATTGATCCAGTTTTCTTTCTATGTAGCCGAAGAGTTGCAGCAGAGCAATGAAAGCCGTTGGGGTTGTTGAGGCTAGCTGTGAAGAAATATTCGAGCTTGTCATGAGCATGGACACAACGCGCTTCGAGTATGTGGTCTCTATAGTCAACTAGACTTGCGAGGCTTTTCCATTATTTTCTTAGTACAACATAGGCATGCACACATAGTTTTACAGAGTTCACTATTTTCATAAATAGAGATGAAATTCTGAAAGGATGCACAATGAAATATCCCAAGTCACTACTTTACCAGGACTTCAAGTTAGAGTGAACATACTCCCACTGTTTCCAATTTGGCTTCTCACTTTTTATTTTCATTTGTGTCAAAATTATCTACTCATTTCTTGTTAAATAAAGATTTGTAAGGTTCATATGTTCTAGCCTTTATGAACAAAGCTCAACCACACAATTCCACTTTCTTAATAAGCTTTCCAAAAGAAACCGGAATATAATTTGGTGATAGGTGTAGTAGTTCTTTACTTTTAGGTTTCATTGTTATTATTTCACACTATCACCTGTTTTAGAACCTTACTTGTATGTTTGTAATGAAGGGAGAAGTCAGAAACTCTGAGTAAAATTCACCAGATATACAATAGAGTTATGGATGAGGATAATTGGGAGTTTACTTTTTGATTGTAGCAGGCCTATTTTGAAAGTTATGTTAGAGTAGTGTCCCAATTTTTAGGAAAACTAGGTAGATGTCTTCAAACACAAAATATGTCTCTCTGGTGTGGGATAATATAATATTAGTTACTCTTTAAGGCAAAGTATGATCATTGTTGGGAAGTTGTAACCCTCCAAACTCAGAGAGGGCACAGTACTTTTCAGTCTTTGATGTTTCTGTGAACTTCACAGATGGGATTGCACATTTCAGTCTGGTAGTTTAGTGGAAGAGGTGGACGGACATACAGCAATACTCTATCACCGACTTCAACTTGACTGGTTTCCAACGTAACATTTCTTTCATCATTATATATTCCTGTGATCGCCAGAGTATATTGTATGTCATTAATTTTAGATTGATTTGAAAAATTGATGAATGGACATTTCCTAAGAACTATAATGTATAGTTTTGGTTGCTCTCCCTGCCTTTTTACCTTTCCTTGTGCCTCTCGCTATTTCAGGCTGGTGTGGCCACGGGATTTGTGTTATGTGCGCTATTGGCGTCGCAATGATGATGGAAGTTATGGTAAATGTTTTGTACGGCTTAATGTATGTTTTTCATCTTTTCCCCCTCATGAAGGAACTTGTCCTTGATCCGTCATTGTTATTGTGTGCTGTGTAGTTGTATTATTTCGTTCCAGGGAGCATGAGAACTGTGGTCCACAGCCTGGATGTATCCGTGCTCATATTGAGAGTAAGTGCAGTCATCCTTTGCTGCTGCTGTTTTTTCCATTGCGATGTAATTGGAAAAGCACATTCTGTTTTGACTGCTAACATATTATGAAAATTTATAATTGGGCTTGTGTAATACATATGCTTGCAAATTTCGTTCAACTCTTAAGTTTTATTTATTGAAAAAAAGCCTCTCCGAAAACATAGTTGTATTCATACATGGATTGCACATTTTCATACATGGATTCTGCATGATGCAGGTGCCTTGTGCACCATGGAAATTGAGACCATTTAAAACTATTAGAAATAGATACTAAATTGTTCTTTATTCCCACAGGTGGTGGATATAATATTTCCTCTCTGAAACCACGTAATGGTAGGCCTAGAACACAAGTGCAGCATCTCATGCAGATTTATTTGAAAGGATGGGGGGTAGGTTATATCCCATCATTTCAGCAACATTGCTTGCTTCAGATGTTGAACAGCGTTGCTGGTAAGTTGTACCAGTTTCCTATATTTTATTATCACTGATGTTGCCATTGGTTCATCGTATGTTTCACTGTAATTTTTCTCGCCAATTCTTCACATGATGCATCTAACCACACTTCTGTCTTCCATTTGGGCTTTCTTTCATATAGGACTACGTGAATATTTTTCACAAAGTGATGAAAGGTCTGCAGCTCCAAGAATCCCAGTTATGGTGAATATGACCTCAGCTTCTGTTTCTTCAAAAAGGAAACAGAAACTCCTTGAGATGTCTCTTCACCATGACCGCAGTCCTTCTCTAGATCAAATGAGTGCTGCAAAAAGAAGTGCAGCGATGTTGGATGATTACTCTGATGATGATGAAGAATTTCAATTGGCAGATCAGGAGGTTATTATCTCACTTTTGGTCATCTTAGTCTCTTCAAAATCCCCTCTCACTATTCTGGAACTCTTTTTGCAGGCAGAGCCTCCAAACGTTGATGATGGAATGAGAATGAATGGTATTTCCTTTCATTACCCCCCATTCAGACTTACATTTTAATGCATTTAAGAAGGATGTAATCTATCTATTCATGCTATCAACAGTTGAATCCCGTGAGGAAGAACCCACAGATCAAATTGATCTGTCCATTTTCAATGGGAATCTTCGGCGTGATGACCGTAACGATGCTCGCGAATGTTGGACACTATCTGATGGAAACAACTTCAGGGTCCGGAGCAAGAGTTTTTGCTACGACAAATCAAAGGTTCTCGTCGTTTTCATTTCAGAATTATCTCATGATTCGTGGTTTTTTTTAAGATCCTCTTGGACATTGCTTTGTAGATTCCAGCAGGTAAACATACCATGGATCTTGTTGCGGTAGATTGGTTCAAAGATACAAAACGAATGGACCATGTTGCAAGGCGTCCTGGTTGTGCGGCACAAGTAAGTTTGTAAAGGTGTAGGGTCTTGTACTCTTGTATCCCCAACTCCAACCCCACTCCATCCAAACACAAATACCTCTGGTCCCTGAATAAAAAAGACAAACTAATTTGAAATATCAACATATATGCTCACATTAACAGAACAGAATGGAAAATGCATTGAGATTCATACATATTATGTTGGTGGAGTGGGAAAAATTATTGCTCTCAGTATAAGTTAAATGTAGAATATTCATACAAGAGAATAGGATAGCCACTTTCAATGAAGTATGCCTTGTTATGGTGTGCTGACTATGGTTGAAAGAATGATACTGTTTCAAAACAAACAATTCTGCCTCCACACCCTGTGCTTCTGCTCTTAGTCAGTAACTCAGTACCATCTATGTACTTTTTACTTTGGCTCTCAACTGTCAGAAAAGAAGGAACTACAGCGGACCATGTTGTCTATCTATTCTTGAAGAAAAAAAATTGTTATTTGCAGGTCTTTAATATTTTAACTTCATAACTACTGAAATTGCCATGTGTGCTTTTTAAGTGAAGAGCATATATTAGTGAATCAGCACAAAGTGGGAACATATAATTTATTATTGGAAATAATGCATTTTTACCTTGTCTTTTTGCTGGATGGTAGTAGTGGTGGTGTGGATTGACTTTCTTTAGTAAAATTTAATAGATCAGAACTGTTTGAGGCTTCTTCAATCCCTCCCATCGGTTTCATCAGTAGGATTAAAGTGGATAATTTGTTAGTCTATTTTGTGCGAAAACATTTTGTTATTGATAAATTTGTCACAAAACGTTATACAATTGATATGAAGTAGTATAATCTTTCTGCATTCCAGGTTGCTTCAGAAAAAGGGCTCTTCTCTCTGGTTGTAAATCTGCAAGTGAGTTGATTCAAGTGATATTATCAGTTTTTTTGCCAGTAGTTGTATTTCTTTGTAATATATTGTTCTTCTTTAAGGTACCTTCTTCAACGCACTACAGCATGGTTTTTTATCTTGTCACGAAAGCTCTGGTACCTGGTTCTCTGTTTCAACGATTTGTAGACGGGGATGATGAGTTTCGCAATAGTAGGCTAAAATTAATACCGTTAGTGCCCAAGGTATTTGTTTTCTTATCACATTGATACTCGTATTTAGTATCAATTTGTCAGTTGTCAAATTCAGGTGGATACCCACAGTGAGTACTCACCCCTCGGTTGTTGGTAGTGGATGTTGAAAGCTTCACCTCGCCCCACAGTGGGTACCCACCATTGTGTGTTTGCCATTTTCTGCTCCATTACTTTGCATAGTATGCCACAATACATGTCACAATGGCTCAACTCTCAAACTCTAGCTTTCATTTCATCCTCATTAGTCATGAGCCTTCAGGATCTTCTTATCCTATTAGAACAATGTGGGCACTATTATCTTGTGAAATGATGGAGCTTTTATTGATTTGTTTCAAATAGTTGTACTCTAGCAAAATGATGACACCTAGTGACTACACTAGTGTGAATGTTTTCTGGAATAGTTATATCTTTTTACATTGTTATTGCTACAGGGCTCGTGGATTGTGCGTCAGAGTGTTGGATCCTCCCCTTGCTTGCTTGGTAGGGCTGTTGATTGTAACTATATTCGAGGTCCTAAGTATTTGGAGGTAAGAATATTTAGATCTGGAATTTTCTGTATACTAAAGCGATCGATGTGCATATATGTGTTCAGATACCAATGAGATTCACATGATTAATGTTCATCCTATTTTTTAAAGATTGATGTTGACATTGGTTCATCTACTGTGGCTACTGGAGTTTTGGGTCTTGTGATTGGTTTAATTTCAGCACTAGTGGTCGACATGGCTTTTCTTATTCAGGTATGCATTCTTGTTTGTTCGTGAGTTTTTGCATCTCAAGTGGTTGTGATTCATTATTATTTCAACCTTTTACTCTGGCCTATGTTCAAGTACTACCTACGTGTCCTAAAAAACTTTGTCATCTCATAAAATTTGGCCTATGATTTTGATTAGTATAATATTATGGAAGTTATGAATTTTATACTTTTATGAAAGTAATTTTAACAAAGAACATTTTAATATCATTTTTATATTATAAATAATTTCCAATAAAAATATATAATTGGTCAAAGTTTTAAAGATGACAAAGTTTTTTGGGACGGAGGTAGTACATAATAATAGGGTTTTACCTGATCAATAAATAGGTCTTCAGCTGCACATCAAAATGCTATAGACATATTTTTAGAATTTCTATATAATAATAGGGTTTTACCTGCTCAATAAATAGTTTTTGTGATTTTCTAATTCGAATAGCATGGTGGACAATATGCACTTTACACCGGCCTGGTTCTTTTCTGCTGGACCAATTTAACACTTCGCTAAACAGATAGTTACCAAACTTAAAACAAATTTATAGTTGCATCGAGTGTTATAAACTTATAATGATGATGATGTTTTGGTCAATCTGCTCTAACAAAGTATTTGTCATTCATTTTTCTAATGTTCAGGGAAACACTCCTGAAGAGTTGCCAGAGCGGCTCTTATGTGCTGTCCGAGTTTCACACGTAGAATTGAAATCTGCTATTGTGCCAAACCTGAAGGCGGATGGATTAGATTAGGAGTAAGGCCAAGTCATGTCCGATTATCAGCCTCACGCATTGGTTCCTTATATATTTGAAGTATACATTTTTTTTTATATAAATAAATAAACTTCCTTAATTCTTTTAATCTCTTATATATACAGAGTAGTACATAATTTTGTATATCCCAGAATACAAATGTGTGAATGGTGTACAGGCATAAAATAGCGAGGCATTCCTGTCTGCTCTTAGTTTATCTTCTTATTTGCTTACTCATAGGATCAGTTTGGTTATATTGTTACAATGGTATTATTGTACAAAGTATTGAGCTGTGAATAAAAATAATGTTTTGTGCCGTTGAAAATGTTATATTTGGGAACATATGATTTAAAATTTTAAAGTAGTGTGTTACCGAGGAGACAAGAGTAGCAACTAGCAAGTACCGAAGCTATATCAAAATTTAGTTTGTTACTAGAACCGAACTGAAACTGAACCAAGTTTTAAGCCGCTACTATTTTCTCGAAAATGTGAAAGGTTTCGATCAGTCCCTTGTACCCCCATTTTTTGCTTCCAAACTAAAACTATAACCTTAACAAAAATCAATTAGGAGTTTAGGACCCTTAAGAAGACGGGCAGTTCTTAATACTATCGTACTACATATAGAGGATTATGAAACCGGTTGAGAATTGGACTGTCTGAAACAGGCCTCAGGACTACAGGAGGAGATTGGTAAAATATTTCTATCTTATTTTCTACGTCCTGCAAAAACAATGGATACCAAAAACTCCACTGTACAATAAAACTATAAAAGTTTCTTGTTCCACAACTGTTTTGGTGGAGGTAAAGGGATTTTAGTTAACTTTAGGGGGTAGAACATAAATCGAAGAGGGCTGATTAGAGAGTGCAAAGGAAGAACAAATTCTTACTTAGAGGATAGGGTTAGGACTTGGGAGCGGTTCCGATCTCGACATTTAGGATGTTTTTATTTGGATTGTTTTCAGTTTCAGATCAGAATAGACCAGACTTTGATGGTAATAAAATATACATAGATCAAACATTTACTAAACTAGATTTAAACCGATCAAATCAGACCAGAAAATTTCAGTTCAATTAAAAACTCCTTAGTTGCGGATCAGGACTAGAAGATATTCTATCCCGAGATTAAACTCATCATTGAGTGAACTGAATACCAAACTATACATATGTAGTATGTCTGGACATTTCATTGAAGAGCATCAATAAACTAGCATTTATGTACGGAGTACTGGTATTGAATAAATTACTAATTCATACCGCTAGAATAAAACATGAACAATTCAATACTTATACATGAAAATGGCCGGTTCTAAGCTAAATCCCCACTTCAAGTCACGATCCACACCTACAGCCTTTGAAACAAATCATTGAACAGATCATCATTCAGAATACTGCAAGTGTTGAATGCTAGTTCTCAAATAGTGAGGGTATTCTGTTCTTATATCAGAAATTTCATAGTTTCCAATATGAAATTAATTTATTAGAGTATAATAGAATTAAAGTATTAAATGTCATCTTTAAATGAGTAATCATAAAAGTGTGCAACAGACAACTTAATTAGCTACTAAGCATACTAGACAGTGGCTAATCATTAAAAGACTTCATAACTTTGTTAGTCAATGAGCATAAAATATCCAACCACAAATCCTACCCTATGAATATCGCAAAAATATATTTTAAATAGTCTCCCACTTGCATTAGAATCTGTCACTTATGAAATGAATTTAGTACACATGCATGATTCTCATGCTTTAATTTAGTACACATAAATTTTTCAGGTTATATCTCCTCTGCTAAGGTTATATGTATACACAACTCAACTACCATATGAAATTGTCTTTATTTAGTTGGAACTCAATGTCAATGTAACCTTTACAATGTGTCACATATCACCACCATTAATCAAGAGCACATATTTTGTTCCTCCAAAGAACTTTAAGATGCTTTTGATCATAATTTAGTGACTATCATTTGGATGTGCATAATATCGAGTAAATTTACTCTCGGCGCAAGTTTCAGCATGATATGTATGATAGTTTGCTCATCAAGTGTTCAAAGGAGCATATCATGTGAGAGTAAAAAATTATCTCTACAAGTCTTGCATGCTCAGCTTATGTAGAACTTTATCAATGTCATATATAGTAGTCCTATTATTTCAAACATTCTGTTTCATTATTTAAGTAGTCATATCTAGATTTTTCCCTGCCAAAAAAGCTAAGATCACTAAATATAATGTGAAGTCAATTATTTACTAGTGCTGAAGATTTCCAAGTTGAAAATGTTGGACATAATATTCAATGATCCATATATGGATCACTTCAAGGAGTATTTCATATACTTTCACTATTGAGGATCCATATTTCCATTATGTTTAGATCTTACATTTCAACATTTCTCATCAATGATTCTCTTTTATTGAAGGATTTCAATCTCATGTATAATGATCTATGTTTATAAATATTTCTAGTCTGATATGTTTCCAAAATTATGTATTTTCAGGAGTACCTAAGATTTGACATCTCAACAAACACCATATATGTTTCCAATCTTATCCAAGAGAGCACCAGCTTATATATATCAACATTTCTCAAAAATGATGATGGCAAAGGCTCGCAATTTTTTTATTCATGGATGAAGGCAAAGACTCACTTTTTTTTGCAAAAGACTCTAATTCTTTTTTACTTGGGCATATGATGGAATAAAACAAAATGACTCACTAAATTGAACGTTTCTTTGTTATGAACCAACAATCAGTCCATGCAATTTTCAATGCCACTATGGGTCATCCAAAAACATTTTCTCCGTGCTTTAGTATAGGGGTAAGACTGCGTATATCCGAAAGCAACAGTCCCCTAAGCCCATCGTAGGTAGGAGCCTTTGCGGAACTGGGTAATGTGATGATGATTTCTCAAGAATGAGAAAATAATTAAGATCAACTTTTATGATCTACACGCAGGAGATGCACTTTCAATCTCATTTATATTAGTAAGAGGGTTGGCTTCCAACAGGCTTCCATTTCCACCACAAAATATTGAGAACTTCCGCTACTTCAGGCCAGTTTTAGCAAGTGTTATTTGGAAAATAACAGATGATTTCAAAGATGATTTTACAAAGTTTCATAAAAAAGTGCTTGTTAAAATCATTTCAGCCAAATAAGTATAAAAATCCGAATCATGCTATCAAAAAGCTTCTAAATCCAAATTCATCGAAACTCCAAAGAGATAAATGTTCACATCTCTCTTTTCACCTTACTCAGTTCCCTCAAGGAAGTGAAGCTTGGTAAGTTGCCATGGATGTCTTTCAAGGTGCATTTAACTTTGGTTTCTCCATTAACGTTTTCCATGAGATTATCGGAGGAGCTGAACCCGTTAGGCCGAAGAGCTTTGGTTTCCTGTACACTGCTTGGGGAATTGATCGTGACTACCGATAGACTCTTCTTTGCTTTCTCTAGTATTGCTTCCATGTACTTCCTTTGTGCCTCTAACCTCATTTTCAATTTCTTTTGTACCACCTGTTTATGATGAGCAGATTTGGAAGGCCTTCCTATCAATAACAAAAAGAGCAACATAATCAATTCCAACCTCAACCTGCTCTTCAACCCTGCTCTGGACTTCATTCTGATATCTTGCTGGATCTGCAAATGGGATTTCTCTGTTTTGAATCAGCAGCATTACTTTGTAAGAGAACCGATGTGAAGTAAACTAAACAAGAAAACACAGTGCAAGTTTTGAGTTTTATGTGGCCTGCCTACCCTTGCATATGGTTTATCCTTGTGCCTGAGGCATGGATGCTGACATTGGAATGGCTACAAGTATCTTCAAAATACAAACATGGCTTTAAGATTAAACTTCAAGGATTTATGAATATCCAGAAATAAGACAAGTATCTTAGTGGGCGTTTGGCAGGAGCACACTTCTGTGATTTCCAACCTTATCAATCAGATCTTTTTTATTTAACGCTGATTTTAATTTTTTGAGCAGACCAGGGGATACTTTATCGTGCTGCAGATGATCGATCCTCTTAACCTTTTTCACACAAAAATACATTTTTTCATCGTTCAATATATTCAACCAATTCAGTCACAATTTATAGATTACAGCATATTAATCATTAAATCACATCTGTCACTTTAAACCTTACCAAACGAGCTTTCAATCAAGCAAATTATTTTGAGGCACCCATTACCTCAATTACTCACTTTAAGCATTAATCGCATCTTTCTTTCTTTTAAAATGAAAGATGAATACATTTTTGAACCCATGAAAAGACGGGCATGTAATACACACAAATAGAGCTATAGAACTCACCATTTTTCTCCTTGTTTTGTTGTGCTGCATTAGGTTTCTGAACCTGCTGCTGACAAATCCTGTACTTCTGCAAATCAAAAAGGGGTAAAAGGGACTAAATTGAATATCTGAATGCTCTTATTGAGATTTAAACATGGGAGCAAAGTTGTACTTGGAGATGACTCTTGAGATGGTACAGAGTCAGCCCTTTCAACCCCATCAATCCTAATACTGATTTTGGAGTAGCTTCTGCAAAACGCCAAGTGCTAATCAGATTTGCGATACAAATTTGTATGTAATTGATGAGTGGAATCACTACTTACTGTCAGGTCCACCAAGCTTGGTAACGGCATCTACAAAGCGATCATGAAGATCAGCCGTCCATCTCAGTCTCGGCTTTGGATCTCTTGACACCCTCTGTCCACAGCCGCCGCCGTCCACATATTGGTAGCACCGCTCTCCTACGCCGTCTCTAATCACTCCGTCCATCCAGCTGCCGCCGACAATGGCTCAGTAAACAAACCATCCGGAAGAGTAACAGAAGAGTATTATTTGAGTATTTGTGGGAGTGAAAATGCGAAGACAATGGAGAGGAAAGAACGGCGCCGAATGTGAAGAAAATTGCCATGGAGACAATAAATTACGGCGCCGAATGGAGTCAAATACAGTCACATGGAGGGGTCTATTTGAATCATAACCCATGCTTGAGAGATTGAAAGATCTGATGATCCTCTAGCCTCGAACTATATCAGAGTAGTTGTTTAACGACCTTAATTATGTCACTTCATCTAAATGAGAGTATTTTTTGTCATGTTTAACGACCTTAATCAGTTTTAACAGTTTATGTGGTACACCACTATTTCATAATATGTTATAGTGCATCATCCGTGTGTCTAAAACTCATTGGCAATAATATCCACGTAAGTCATCTTATTAAAAAAAATTAAAAGTTGCATAGTGATACTTACACTACAAAAAGATCATGCATGCCTATTCATCATGGTACTCGACCGTTCCCCATCATCCTCATTTCACTTTGTCTTCCCCAAACATGCCAGATCGGGAATTCAATACACATCTATATGACTGAATTGCAATTCTACAAATTGAATCAATTTTTATTCGAATGGGCCTCCCATTAATGCCATTTTGCTAATATAGAAATAACCAATATTAACCTCTCTAACTCTAAGATCCAAAATTTAACACAATTCTAAGTCCTTACTTCCCTACCCTTCAAGATTTAAGAATTAAGCAGTTAAACTGTGAAATTAGAAAACTACCATCTCTCAAGGTCTAGGGAGTGGGATTGAGTGAATGCAGTTAATTATGTAGTTCGTCGATCGTCGGTGAAGACTAAAGGCATAACTGCAGGTCAGCGGTCACCTGGTGCATTGGGGCTTAGTCTCATCTAAGTTTGAATACGAAATTCAGAAGATAAAGTTTTCTTATCTTCTGAATTTCTATCAGGCTGCTCTGCTCGGAGAATTGTCGAATTGGAAACATAGGGTTTTTTTTTTGTCAAAATTGGGAACGGAGATGAGAGTTATGAATTTGCCATTTCCTAAATGTATTTCTAAAAACACACACACACACAAACTACATACAAAAATTTGTATAAAATTTAAAGCATTTTAATTCTGCTTCCATCGACAGATCAGACGTCTTAAAGCGAAAGCAAAACCCTAATCCGATGGTACGTTTCAAAGACAAATCGGAAAAGTTAATCGAAGAGGAGATGGATGATAATGAAGGAAGTAATTTTAACCTCCGAGACAAAGAAATTGAATATGCACAACAAAAACTTACAGATGATGACACCTACCTCGGATTGAGATGCTAAATTTTCGTCCCTCCGGCGCTTTCCTTGGTTTCTTCGCCTCCTAGAGATGTCTCTCGCAACCTTTTTTCAGCGAATAACGCACAAGCTAACCTCAACTATTCTTTCAGCGTAAAACGATAAGGTTATAGAGTGGGGAGGACTTGCAATTAACTTACTTTTATTGAAAAAAGGATTAAACTATCAATCACATACTGTCAAATGTGGAATGCACCAGAACATCCCACAAAGCATATGCACCGTAAAATATTCCTTTAAAATTTACAAAAAATGGAACCTGCTAGGATTCAAACCCACATCACACAAAAAGGGACGAATTTTACAAGCATCATGAACCACTACACTACACAACTCACTTGTGATATTAATGCTTTTTAAGATATCTAAATCATACATTCTTAAGTCATGGAGTGTACTATCTCTTAATTACATTTATTATTCATTCTTTTATAAATATATTACTTCTTTCCTAAACAATTAAAAAACACAATAAAAACTTAATTTGAGTTATTCAATTAAAAAAATAAAAACCTAATTAAAACTTACAAAAAACTTAATTTGCGATATTTAATTAGAAAATAAAAACTTCATTTAATCTTATATTAAAAAAATAATTTGAAATGTGTAATTACTTTTGTTTAATAACTCAAAATGAAATAAAATAAAGCATAAGTAAATTTCATGCTAGTCCACCTCAATTTAAAAAAAGTATATTATTAATGTAAAATATCGTATAAATTTTTTCTTTATAAAAACTATTTATGGAAGCTCAACTTAGCTCAAGCTCGGATCGACTAGGCCTCGGTACCAAGAGTTTTTCTTATGTTAATTTATTACGTTTTTCCTTAGATAAATTTTATATGTTTTTTTGCTTGTGAACGATACCCGATTTTAAATTGAGGGTGGGCCGGAGCCTTTCATGGCAGTTAGTTATTATAAATTTTAATTAGGTCTTTATTTTTTAATTATCTAAAACTTAGTATTTTATGTTTCATACATGTCACAAAGATTTTAAGTCCAAGAGCGTATATTTACCCATGTATTACTAGACCAGACAAGACCAGTTCAGACCAGACCAAATCAAATCAGATCAAACTAGAATTTTTTAGCTCAAGTAAAAACATATGTTATCCAAGACCAGATGTTATTATTTGGACAAATTGTAATCTTACATAGGACCATATAGATTTAAATAGACCAAATTAGGTCAGAACAAACGTAAACGCGTTACACCATTACAAAATAAACTTTGACAATAGTAAAATACCCATAGAACAACCCTTTAATTGCCAAATCAAATCAGACTTAAACATATCAAACCTAAACATACCCGATCACATTAGACCGAATCAGAAGATTCTAATCCAATCTAAAACATCTAAGTTTGAAGTATTATTGTTAATCTCTCAAATAAGTGGTCACTCGTTCTAGTCACATCCTAATTAAAAATGGTGGCATTATCAAAAAATATACTACTCTGAAGAATTCAATTGTGAGCAACATCCATGAATTTTCCTACACATCCACGAATGACAAAGGAAGCTTCAACCCACCTAAGAGTCACCTGTTAGGAAATTGATGTAATGTACCTCGAAAGTACGGCACCGGAAGTTTAAAATTTTCCCAAACAGAACTTCCCTGATTATGACAAAATAACGAATATGATAATAATAACAGATCTGAGTTAGAACTTACAGATCATCTAGCCTAGCGGTGATAATCCTTGACCTTTGGTATCCACGTGATTTCTCCTATCCGAAAAAACGGTTAGATCCCCCTAAGAGAAAGGCTAGGAAATCTCTTCGCAGGGAAATAATCTGGTAATACTGAATCTGAAAACTGGTCCTTAATTATGAAGGAGGAAGATGTATGATGGATAGTGTACCCGGGAGGTAGCTTATCCGAGGGGTTATTACGGAGAATAATAAGAGAGAAGTCAGAGCAAGTAAATATAGAGAGATAAAGTATATTATAAAGTGTGGAGCGTTTTCAGCGTGGTTACAAATGGGGAGATGGGGTGCTATTTATAGTAGCAATAAATGCCGGACAGGGACACGTGTCAAGCGTCCATTGGCCGAGAGGTCACCTCAACTGGTTGGCGCTGGCAACCGCATGTGGCCGCATTTAATGCGGTTGTTGGATGGGACGTTGTACTTGGTACGGTGACCCAGATGCGCGTGGAGGGCAGATCCTGTCGAGTGAGGTGCCTTCGGGCACACTAGTGCCGAAGGCTCTCTGTTGCCGAGGGCACACCAGTGCCGAGGGCTCTAGGTGCCGAGGGCTGCTGTTTTTTGCCGTTTTCTCCCAGTTTCTTAGTTTGCTTGAAAAACCCGTTCTGTGAGAGGTTTGAGCCTTCGGCCAGGGGCGCTGTGGGCTGCTAAGTGCTTGGGGCGCCGTAATTTGGGCCTGCTGTGCCTTCTGGGCCTGTTGGGCCTTGATTGGAGTAGTAGGAGTCTGTGGGCCGGGGGTTCCCGGTCCATATACTCCATCAGGAGTCCCTCACTCCTTTTGCCGAAAGGTACTTGAGGGAAAAGGAGTAATCGTGTTTGTCCTCTGCCGTTGTTCCGTTTGTAGTTTGTAGAGTCGTGGGTAGTCTGCTGTTTGTTTATTCTGCCGAGGGCAGTCCCTCAGTTACCCACATGTTGGGACTTGAAGGGTCATGTTTGTGATTTTTGTGATTTTTCCCGAGGGGGTCCTCCAGTCCCCCACTCCTTGAGGCACTTGCAAAGTGGTGAAAAGGAGTAGAGTAGTTGCGCTGTTGTTGTGGGCCGAAGGCTGACACTTTTCATTTCATTTTGGGGGGATGCCTCGTTAAAAACCTCATTAGGAAAAACCCTGTGGGAAAAAATCCTAATGAGGGAAAAAGAGTGCACCGAATTCCCCCAATGATGAATCGAAAATGTGAAACCTTGGTTCAAAATGGAGAATAATGATGGTGCCGAAGGCTCTCCTTGTTCTGAGGGCTCATGTGTTGATTACCCGGAGGCTTGTTGTTTGATGTCCTGGGAGGTGCCGAAGGCGGGTCCCTCAATCTGGGGATCGAGGGCGTAATGAATGCGGGTAGTAGTTGAATTGTTACCGGGGGGGTCCTCTGTTTGTTGAATAGTTGGTGATGAGGATATCCGAGGGTTCCCGTTACCTGTGTGCCGTAGGTGATCCGTCAATGAGGCGTACTCCCCGGGGGCTACCCGGCTCTCAAAGTGCTGAGGGGGAATCCCCGAGGGGTGCCTGATATGAAGCCTTGGGCTTCTGAAGGTTCGATCCCGAAGGCATCCGTTATGTACTGTGTGGGGCACAACCCGGGAGCGTCTCCGGGTGAGTGTACCCGGAGGCTCTCCTTGATGAAGTGGAGTTAAGTAAAAGCCCGGGGGCTACCAGAATATAGTCGTTGGAAATATAGCCGTTGGAATATGTAACGTCTGGATATAGCCGTTGGAGGGGGGTAGCCACGTGGTGCGTGCTCGTTGGCTGCCCGTGGGCGGGCGTCACCGATTGGATGGAAACTCGGTTGGCAATGATGGCAGTCCAACCGGAGGCCCGGTTTCCAAGCCCAAGCCCGGATTCCAGCGCCTATAAATACCCCAAGGCTGGACACTTCCCCTTGTGCGAAATCTTGTCGGCGAAGCTCTGCCGAATTTTTTCTAGAGAGAGAAACTCCAGCCTTCGGTCGATTCCCAGCTCCTAAGGTTAGTCCCCCCTGCCTTTCTCCTCCTAGCTAGCTGTGCCCTGTGCCCTTAGGCTAGGAGTTAGGATTCTTAGGATACTTAGCATTTCCGAGCCCTCGGCTGCTGGGAAGATGTCTTCACAAAGCGACTCCCAGGATATCTCGGGGGAGCCTTCGGTCGAGATGG